CAAGGTCGTGCAGATAAACAAGAGTGCTCCCAAAATTCCTGGAACTCCCGATCCCTCGAACACTCGCGGTCAGTGACACGAAAGGGAAAGCCGAAATTCATGCTGCAAGTCGGGGTGGAACACCAGCCATTCGGGAAATTAATCGAGTTCAGGTTTCGCAGACGCGCGTGTAGGCAGCGATCGCCTTTGGTCGAGCCTACACGTGTGCCCGCGGGACCTGTCCTGAAAGCCAGCGATTCGCGAGATTGGGTCATTCTATAATGCGACGGTCATCTAATGGTTAGCATGCTTGTCCCATTCATACACATACAGAATCACGCCCTTCTTCATGCATCTATCTTTCATACAAACAGAGAATCGAGGATTATGGGACAATTTTTTGGCCAGTTAGCCTAGAGATCACACAAGGCTCGATTGCTGGGAACCAATGAATCAGATTTGCGGATTCATGTATACTTGATGTTCTAATTAGAGATTTATTGCAGCATATTTAATATTGAGCTAAAATTCTTCTTTATTCTATTCATTGTATACTTGATGTTCTCTCTCTCTCTCTCTCTCTCTCTCTCTCTCTCTCTCTCTCTCTCTCTCTCTCTCTCCCCAACGTCCCGATGCGGGCAGTCCGTCGCCTCGCACCCACACACAGTTGTCACCCCGCTTAGTCCGAAAATGCCAGCCAGGTTCGCCCGCGTGCCACAGTCCGTCACGGCCCCACGTCAACCCCGCATGCCCAGCACCAGCTCGTCGGATCGCCCAACTCTCTACTCACCTTCCAAATCTCGCTCGTTAGCCGATCCTCTCGGCCGCACTAACTTCCATAAGTCTTAGAGAGCCAGTTAATCGCGCTTGCGAGATTTATAGCATGCATGCTTGCGCGAGATACCCGGGGTTGTGGCTAAGTGGAAAAAGGAGGAGGAAGGAAGTGCCTACGTCTACATGGCCAGGCCGCGGCATGGGGGATGTAGCCTCACTCCACATATCGATCCATTGATGCAAGCGTTCCGGCGAATTAGGACAGAGGAAGAAGTACGCACGCACATGGACGCCACAAAAGATAGCAAGAACAGGGGGATTACAGTTGCAATTATGCCCGCCAAAACAAAAATTATAGTTGCACGCAAGGATAAAGGCGCGGAAAAGTCAGAACACAGATCCTGACGCGGCAAGGCGTGCAACAAAAATTGAGACGCGCCTAAATTCCTAATCTAAATCCTAATTGCAAGAAGAAATTCCGAATGGTGCAAATTCCGAGAGCTCACGGGGGCTCGAGCTCAGTTTGAAAATTCAAAAAGATTTTCCCGTGCGACGACCGTGCCAAAATTCTCATTTCCCACAACAGAACAAGAAAGAAGCTATGGCAACAGTTATTTCTTGCACTGGCTAAGGCACGATCAGCTACCAATCGTCACAAGATCACCCCAGCCTCGATTCCAAAAACAAGAAAAACAAGGGCACCGATGTAATCCTGCGGGTCGTTCCGATCCAACCCCCGAAGTAGCCTTGCGCAGAATATCGCACGGTTGCAGAAAACAGTTCGTCACAGGGGCGCAGACAGGGATGTTTGTGGTGGAATTGATGATGTAGTCGGTTACTTGAGGGCTTTGCTTCAGGGTGGCAGAGCCGCAGGAGGAATTATGCAGTAGGGTTCCTAGGTAGGGCCTTCCTGGGGATAGACCAGAGTAGGCCCAGTTGATGACACAGAGGTACTAAGGGGAAAGGATGGTGGCCTCGTATATGTTCTGATGACTAAGACCGGTGCTGCTGCTGCTCTGGCTGATGACTCAGAGGGAACCTTTAGTAGGGGCTGTCCTAGGGTTAGATAGTGGTGGGATTGTCTGCTTGATAAATAAATATACCAGAGTAGGCCTTGTTGATGACGAGGTAGGGAACGAATGATGGCCTGGATGTAAACGGGGGCTGCTCTGGGCGATAACAACACAACTATAACAGGAGGGAGGGGTCTAGTTGATGACTGAGGTATGGGGACAGATGGTGGCCATAGGCCTAGCAATGAGAGTGCTTGGTGAAAGGATTCCACATCTCAGACAACCACCAAATCCTGATCCTGGTCCCAGGCCCCGAAAGTCGCAGTCCCATATACAGCAGCAGCCGAAACACCGGTTCGAGTCCTTAGGTCGGTAGAGCTCTAGGTCAGTAGAAGTCTGGTAGTGCCGGTACCTGGAAAGAAACATCCAAAGCCCCAGTCTAAATTTAGCAGCAGCATCCTGGGGAAGTCAGGTAAGTTCTGGAACTGGCAAAAGTGTAGCCGACGGGCCCTGGGAGACCATTACCGGTCTGGAGCCGACAAAGATGTCAAGTCAGCTGCTACTTAAGTGGCTACAGTACCCTGGGCGATTCACTTGTCCATTCACAGGGTGTGGAAGCGCTGTTGTACACTTGTGTGATGGTTAGAAGAGACCGATCAGGCATTTGTTGGAGTAGCCGGTGCTAGGGCGCCATGGCTAGGACTAACAAGCGAGAAGGAAGACACACCATAGCCATTAGGGTTGAGAGCCGAGTGCATTCAGAGAGTAAGAGTGAGCTATCCAAGTAAGAGAGAAGCGTGAGAGAAAGACAGTGCGGAAGATAGAGAGAGAGAGAGCGAGTTCATACCTAAGAGCAAGGGAGAGAGAGCTTGGGTGGCCATAGCCGCATTGGGAATACTATCTTCGACTACCGGCTGATGCCTATCTCGTTGCTTTGCTGTTTGAGTATGTGTGGACTTCGGAGACTTGCACAATTGCCATTGGGAATTTGGGAGTCTGAACTGAGTCTGATCATTACACCAGGGCACCTTCAGACGGTATATAACCAATAATGATCAGAAGAACAGCAGTACAATCACAATGTGACTACGGTAGAGATCAATCTAGGGGATGTCTAAGGTGGAGCGGAGGATGGTAACTATACATCGACTGATCAGGCTAGGGCCTCTAGGTCGTAATTAGAATGACACCAGTACACAACTACAACAATTGATAGTAGCTGTGCTAGGTTGTATACCCGGGTTGCTCAGAAGATGTCATGGGTTAGACCTTCGCTAAGGGGAACCATTTGACACTGCCTGTGATATCTAGGGTGCACAACTTTATTCATACATCAGGTAGAACGGGTAAGTTTGGGGGAGAGGAAAGGTCCACCCATGGGACATGTAGAAGAACGCCTACACCTAGGGCTCAAAGAACCAATACGGCAGTGCTCATCTGTCTATGCTTTTGGTGCCTACAACTGGTGTCCAGTCCGGTCACGCCCGCCAAGATGGTAGAAGGGCGATTGTCCTGAGTGGTAGACACTGAGGTCAGGTCTCCCTGGCGCACCCCTATTCCCCATTCCTATCTCAGTGTCTACCGCTCAGGAGGATCACCCCTCTAGCCTCTCGACGGGGATGACCTGACCGTACTGCGGTTGTAGGCAGCAGGACCCCCTACTTGGGGACCCCTGATTGAAGCACAGATGGATGAGCCCTATCGTATGGGTTCTTGGAGCGCGATGTGGTGGCATTCTTTCTACACATCCCCCATAGGTGGACCTTTCCTCTCCCCCAAACTTACCCGATTTATGAATCAAGTTGTACACGGTAGATATCACAGGCAGTGTCGAATGGCCCCCTCTAGCCAAGGTCTGACTCATGGCATCGTCTTAGCGACCCGGCCGTACCCACCTAGCACAGCTATTATCAATTGTTCTAGTTGTGTTCTGTGTTATATGCTTCCGTTTTTCTAATTATGACCTAGAGGTTCTAGCCCTGCTATCAGTTAGATGAACAGCCACCATCTTCTAGTCCCCTAGTCCCCTCTTTAGTCACATTTTGATTGTACTGTTGTTGTTCTAGTCATTATTGGTTATATACCCTATGAAGGTACCCTGGGCTCTGTCATTGGCAGGTCTACGGCCACTATCCGTCCCCATACCTCGGTCATCAACTAGACCTCTCTACCTCTTATAGTTTTGTGTTGTTATCACCCAGATCAGCCATGGTTTCTGTAATTAGTATGTACCGGGCCACCATCTGTTCCCTACCTCATCATCGATGGCCGTCTTCACCTGAATACAATATACGGTTATTATAGCTGTATTTGGGGCAACTTTGAGTCTAGATACAGCAATAATGACCGTGCATTGTATTCCGGTGAAGAAGGTAGGCCTACTCTGGTCCATTTTTCAACATGAGAAGCAGACAATCCCACCACTATCTAACCCTACAACAGCCCCTACTACAGGTTGCCCCTGAGTCATCAACTACCGCAGCACTGTTTTTTTAGCTGTATTTGTTGCAATTCCCAGTCCAGATACGGCCATAATTACTGGGCGCTCCGTTCGGGGGAAGACGGTAGGGCTAACATTTTAATCTCAAACGAATCGAACGAAAGGTATAACATCATTGGCTGGCTATCATCACGGTAGGCACCCTGGAATGTGAGAAATCAAGGGCGTCACCGCACCACCCACTAGATGTGAAAAAGGCAGAACAAATGGCGGCTGTATCTCTCCACCTTCCAGATGGGGATATACTCCATCTCACAAAATTTAGTGAGTGGTGCGGTGAGGTCTTAAGTCTTGCTGCACGTAACTCAGTCTGACATTTGAATATTCTGAATAGTTTTTCAGATTTACCATGCAAGTGATCCTCATTTGCCGTACGGCTGGCCACGATCCTGGTACATGAGAACGTGTTGGGGTTACATCAACTTACATGTGATAATATGACCCACGTGGGTGCTCTCTGTGAGGGTGGATGATTAGGTGGGGCTGTGTGCCTTTTCACTCTCCACCTTGGATAGATACTGATTCACATATGAGTTACTAATGTGTAGGCTTTCGTAAATGTCGACTTTCATGAAAAATGTACATGGCATGATTGCACACTTTGACCAGAAAATACAGTGAAGGCAGCTGAAAAATACTTCAACGAACATATATTTGCTTGAAAAATGTTGACTTCCAACAGAAAATACGGTGAAGCCGACTGGAGAGCGGAAAGTGCATGCGTTAGGGACCGCTGGAGAGCAATTCAGATGGTAGGAAGGGGGTTAAGCAATGAGAGCGGATGCTGAGCTGATCATGGCGCGCCCGGAAGTGGAAGTGACGGTGAAGACCCTGACCGGGAAAGCAGTTCGAATTGAACTGCATGAATCTGCCACCGTGAATGACTTGATGCAGAGATCAGAGATTGAATTGGGGGAGCCACAGGGTGTTAAATACAGGCTATTTTTGAGGGGAGTACGTCTTGAGAGTGACAAGTTGATCAAAAGTCTGAACGTTAAGGAAGGGGAGGCTTTCGTTCTCATTGGATTTACAGCAAAGAAGAGGCTGAAGGCAGAGTGGCGCAGCCGTGATGAGCCCACAGAGGACCTACGTCGTCTTGAGACCCCTTCTGCTGACGTCAGGAGGAAGGGTCAATCACATGTGTTATCCTCTCGTATGGAAGGCGGTAGTGGTATGCCCTCGTTACATATGGCTCCGGAACGAGCAGATGAACGGCCCAAGATGGCTGTAGAACGAGTAGATGAACGACCTGCTCACCTCACGATGAGGGATCAGCACACGCTGGTGACCAAAGCTCAGCAAAGTCACCAAACACAAAGAATGAGAGACGGTGGCAATGAAATCAGGAGGCAAACTGCACAAGATCCTTCCCCCCAGGACTCCAGTGTGCCCAGTTGTCTTGATGCCAGCTTGGCTGGAAAATCCCATGTGCCACAAGAAAACGATTGCTGCGCAGATGTTTTGAAAACATACAGGAAGAAAGGAAACGCACACTGCGTAGAGAAATGTGCCGCACAGGTCGCTGGTAGTTTCACACTGCCGTCAGGGAAGGACGGGTGCTGCGAATTAAGCGGCAGGGACTCTGTAGGAGAAGAGGGGCTTGTGATGAGCACAGCGCGCAAGCAGCAGTGCGCTGTAGAGGCAGTGCGAAGGGAAATACTAGCCGATGCTCAGTCTATTCCAGGGATGGAGGACACTCTGAGAAATGGGGAGAGAATGGGGGACCAGAGCGAGCAGGCTGATGGCCATGGACGGAAGATCAGCAGCGGAAACACCAGAAGAGCATGTCCGAAACAAGCATCGGAAGTTGCCGAAGACGATCGTGTTGCGTTGTGTGACGATGGATCTTTCTCTGGTGATGATCGCTGCCGGATGAAAGGCATTGCATCACATGCTGGCAGCAAACATAGTGCATGCGACAGCAAATCTATCGCAGCTGCTTCTGGCGGACTGGTTAAGGAGGAAAGACATCATCCAAACAGACTGGATGACGAAGTCGTGGGCGACAAGGGTGCCAGAAACGTAGGAGAAAATGTGGAGAAAGAGGAATCCGATGGAGAGAAGGCAAAGGAACGGATGCCGGGGCATGTGACAAGCAGAGCACAGGAAAGCAAAGCACAGAGGGGACCAGGTGGGAAAGGGGGAGGTAGAAGCGCAAGTAGAAGTGACAAAGAGGAGTCTGACTTTGTCTGGCCCCCCGATCTGGAAAGATTGATCAAACTATTCGACATTCTAAATTCAGTTTATGGATTCCTGCAGCGGCAGCATGTCCAGGCCACATGGCGTAATGTCAGAGCGGCCATGGAGCAATTGTCTGCATGTTCTGGGCTGAAAATCAACGCAGAGGACGTGGCAGCCATGGCTACACTCTGCCCCAGGATTGTGTGGATACGAGACAAGACAGGAGAAGGGGAGAGTTTGTCATTTACCATTGACTTAGTGGACCCCACCCGGCCGTTATCTGATCAATTGATGGAAGCTCAGATCATGCCCCCAACCCCAGCCGGAGAAACTGAACCGTGGGATCTTATCCCTGCGGGAGGCAGAAAACTGACAAATAAGATGATACAAGGACCTATGGATCGCCGGAGGCGAGGCTTCCAGGAAACGTTGATGGGCTTGCTTCAGGCAAGACATCGACAATTCTTAGCACAGCTGGGCGTGAAAGAGAATCGTGGGAAAAAAAGATCAAAGAGTTCAGATTGGCATCCTGATTTCCAGCTGAGCGATGTCAGTTTGGCAGATCTTCTCTCCGATGCCTGTTCAGCTCGCGCTGCCAATCCTGCTGTCGATAGGTCAACTGGGGAGGTGGTAGGGAGCCTGCCTTCTGAATCTAGGCATGATACGGGTGAAGGTTATGGATCCAATGCAAAGAGCTTGTGGGAAAGGTTCGAATCAGCAGAGGTGCCCGCCAGGCCACCAAGGGTGCTGAAGAAGATACCACGATGCACGAGCACGAAGTCTTACTCACCTGCTGAAATGCTGGATCATCTTAGAGAGGGACTGGGGTCTGTAGGACAGGTAACACATTGCCAGTACAAGCCTCCTCGAAAACCGTCCTATGGAAGTTTGGAACGTCCACTCTCTGAAGCAACCATTGCCGCCTTGAAGAAGAAAAAGATTGCGGATCTGTATGTCCATCAGACGAGTGCCATCAACGCGATTGTGCAGGGGCGACACGTTGTTGTCGCTACATCGACGGCCAGTGGCAAATCGCTGTGCTACAACATACCAGTGTTAGAGGCTTTCAGTTCATGCCCAGACACATGTGCGCTGTACATGTTCCCGACGAAGGCTCTTGCACAAGATCAGCTGCGCGCGCTGGTCGAGTTGACTTCGAACATGCCTGTCATCCCTGTTATGGGGGTTTATGATGGTGACACTCCGCAGGATAGGAGACCTTCCTTGAGGAATGAGGCGCAACTGCTGATCACAAACCCAGACATGCTGCATGTCTCTATATTGCCCGTCTACCAGCAGTTCAAGCGCTTTCTCTCCAGCCTAAAATATGTAGTGGTTGATGAAGCACACATGTATAGGGGAGTGTTTGGATGTCATACTGCCTTGATCATCCGGCGTCTACGGCGCATTTGCAGTCGAGTGTTTGGGGTTCATCCGACATTCGTTGTCTGCAGCGCGACAGTGGCAAATCCCAAAGAGCATGCTCAAGAGCTCATTGGGCTGCAGGATATAGAGGTGGTCCTTGAAGATGGAAGTCCTTGTGCAGAGAAGTACTTTGTACTATGGAACCCACCACTGATAATGCTTCCACAGCGGAAATCGAGGAAGAGAAAGTCGCAGCATATGGCAAAGAAGATGAAGGCCGAGCTCAAGGGCACAGTGCCTCGCACCTCCGCAACAGCTTACAATTATAATGATGATAATAATAATAATACTAATAATAATGGACCTGTTGACCTAGAGGAGCGTCCTCAGCCGTTGGGCCAGCAGCCGACTGAGGAAGGTGCCCCCGTGCAATCTTACCGATCCAGCCCGATCGTCGAAGTGGCTCTCCTGATGGCGGAGATGGTGCAACATGGCCTAAGATGCCTTGCCTTCTGCACAACCCGAAAGTTGTGCGAGCTAGTCCTTGTCTATGCATCTGAGACCCTGAAGGAAACAGCACCCCACCTGGCGGACTCGATCCGTTCCTACCGAGCTGGGTACACACCTGAGGATAGAAGGGCCATTGAGGCTGACCTATTCGGAGGAATGTTGCGAGGTGTGGCAGCGACAAATGCCTTAGAATTGGGCGTCGATGTCGGCAGTTTGGATGTGACACTTCACCTGGGCTTTCCTGGCACTGTCGCTAGTCTTTGGCAGCAATCCGGCCGTGCGGGAAGACGTGAACAGTCCTCCCTTGCCATCTATGTGGCTTTCAATGGGCCGCTGGACCAGTACTTTATGCGGAACCCAGAGAAGCTTTTCTCCCGCCCTATTGAGAACGCGCAGGTGGATGCCCATAATCCTCAGGCGGTTGACCAGCACCTGGTCTGTGCTGCAGCCGAGTTGCCGATTCAGGTCGACGTGGATGATGTCTTCTTTGGTGCTGGGGTGGAGAGGAGTATAGCCCTGCTGGTGGAGAAGGGACTTCTTGGCAGGCATCCAACGCATCCCACGATTGACAGCGCTTGGCACTACATAGGCAAGGCGACCTATCCGTCTCACGGAGTGAGCATCCGCTCAATCGATCCTGGGAAATATGTTGTTGTGAATGAGGAGACAAACGACGTGATCGAAGAGATTGAGGAGAACAAAGCCTTCTTTGAGGTTTACGACGGTGCTGTTTACATGCACCAAGGAAAGACCTATCTCGTGAAAACGGTAAATATCAATACAAAGGAGGCCATCGTCCGGCAAGCAACGCTGAACTATTACACGAAGATGCGGGACCTCACAGATGTGCAGGTCATGGGTGGCGCCCTTGCTTACCCTTGCAACATAGCGGAGGAACGGGACCACCTCTCATCCACGGCGCAGTGCACAATGGCGAAAGTGATCACTCAGTTCCTTGGGTTCCGCCGAGTGTGGCAAGGAACAAATCAGGTTTTTGACCAGGTGGATCTTTTCCTTCCGAGTGTTGAGTACACCACTCAGGCGTCATGGATTCGTATTCCTCGTCGTTTGAGGGAGAAGGTGCAGGAAAAAGGGGTTAGCTTCCGAGACAGTCTGCACGCTGCATGCCATGCTGTTATCAATGTCCTCCCTCTGTATGTGATGTGCAACGTTTCCGATGTGGGCACAGAGTGCGCGAGCCCACACGATACGCGGTACTTCCCTGAGCGGATCTTGATATATGACCGCCATCCTGGTGGAATAGGCATCTCGTCGCAGGCGAGAGTGATATTCGCCGAGCTTCTTCAGGCAGCAGTTGAACTTGTGACATCCTGCAATTGCACGATTCCTGAGGGATGTCCAAATTGCGTACAGTACTTTGGATGCGGGGAGTACAACCACGCACTGATCAAGGAGGGAGCAATCATAATTCTGCAGGGAGTCGTGGCGGCAGAGTCCGCATACAGGGATGACAGCGAGCGCCCCGAGTCATTTCACTACTACGGTCCTGATGGGGAGAAGTACACATGGATCTACGAGAAGGGAGCGCAGACAGCCGCAAAATCGTCAGTTGTCTCTCCATCAAGAAACTAGGTATACAGTCCTATACCCCACTCTTCAGGTAACCTAGTCGAGGTTGCATAACCTTGAACATGGGGAGTCCGAGGGGCTTAGCTCAAGGTGAGAGCGGGCTATGAAGGCGCGTTGTTACTTTGGTGGATCAGCTCCAGATGAGAGCGGTCTCTGAAAGTGAGCTGTACTTTGCATATCTCCATAGCTATGTGTTAAGAACTTGTGACTGCTCTTCTTTTTTTTTGTTTTTTATACTCTTTTTCCCCCGGGAAGAAGCCCTGACTAACTCCGTGTCAGCAGCCGCGGATCATTGGAATTCGAACTCAGGCCTGTGTTTCAACACTTGATAGGCGTACCAACTGAGCTAGGCCAGGCGGTAGGTGAGATGTACTTTCAACTGTACTTTCAATGTAACAGTTGCAAGTGGATAAAAATGCAAGGGGAAGCGTCCTTAGGGGACAATGTCATATGTTAAACATGGAACGATACAGAGAAAAAAGATTAGCATGGCCCCTGCGCAAGGATGACACGGATAAATAGAGAAACACTTGAAATATTTTGAGGCATTTAAAGAAGTGCAAAGGGGGAGGGGAAGCAGAGGTTCCTCCGCTGCGCCCACACCCCTCCCCGTTTCCACCTGCATGCCTCCCTCCTTCCCTTTGCGCAGAACTCTTTTGTATAAACTCATGTCACTTCTTCTCTCATCGCTTCATGATTTTTCCTCTCTGTCACTCATTTGCGTCAATAGGTTCTCCTCTCTCTCTCTCTCTCACTCGCTTTTTTTTTTGAATTATTTCTTTTCTATTCAAATGGTTCCATCTGGATTCAAACTTGGGTCTGTATGTCAACGGTTCATGGGTGTACCAACTGGGCTACTAGGCCCTTTCAGCAGGTTCTCCTCTCTCTTGCCCTCCATTCCTTTTCGTTTTCTTGTTTCTGCTCTTCGGAACTGAGGAAATCCTACCCATGCATATGTCCCAGTGTTACGACTCTTCCCATTTGGGGTGCCCTATAGAGCAGAGCGGCGGCTTCCTTCTGAGTTTGTTATGCATGTGGGGTTGACGAGGCGTTGGCACCAGGTATAACTGTAAAGAAAGGATGATGGGACGTCTTTGATGGGATGCCTTTTGGTCAGGATTGCGGGCTTGTACTCGCGGGAAGGCAGGTGTGCCATTTTTTGTCTTCTGTGCATGTGGAGCGAGGCCCTTTCTGCTCCGCAGACTTTCAGAGCAGGTAAAAAATCACTCACTTGCTCTTGAACTGTTAGCCTGCACTTGGAATCTGTTCTTAAACGGCCAGTACGTTCGCTAGCCATTTGTCTCCAATGCAGCTGCGTGGACGCTGCAAGCTTCAGGGGTCGGCCTACCATAGGAAAATGGATGGCAGCGCCAGCCAGAAAAGGTATGCGACTCTGCGTCATTTTTGTATTTTTCTTTGGGCGCAAAGTGCTTTTTGAGGCTCGGCAAGGGACAGGCCAAAAGTACGGGTGTTTTTAATTTGTCAAAGAAAAAGTATCACAAAAGCTTTAGACTGGCGGAGTAATTTTCACTCTGATCCATACCATAAAAAATTGCTGCAATTTATTTATCCGGTTTATCTTCAGCTTCCACACGATATCCAAGCTCTCTCTCTCTCTCTCTCTCTCTCTCTCTCTCTCTCTCTCTCTCTCTCTCTCTCTCTCTCTCTCGTGCGCGCGCGCGCGTCCCCTTCCTCCCCCCCTCCCTTAATGGAGTAAAGTTTGTCCAGTGCTGGTTGAAATTTACTTGCAAGCATGAGCACTGCACAACTGGACATGTCTGGTGCTGCTATCAGAGGGAAGAAAGAGTTCGAACTTCAAAGAGAAAATGTTGAAAAAAAGGAAAAAATCAATGATCCAATCCCCCCCCCCCCCCTTAATGGAGTAAAGTTTGTCCAGTGCTGGTTGAAATTTACTTGCAAGCATGAGCACTGCACAATAACACTGGAGTGACTGGACATGTCTGGTGCTGCTATCAGAGGGAAGAAAGAGTTCGAACTTCAAAGAGAAAATGTTGGAAAAAAGGTAAAAATCAATGATCCAATGATGCAGACTATGACTGGGACCCCACTGCAGTGCGGATGGAAAAGACGTTTGGCCATGAAAAGTGGGCAATTCATTTTGAAACGTTGGCCAGGGAAGTATTTTTCCCCGGGACCCCATCGCAGAGTACGTTTTGCAGCGAAGCAATTGTTTTTTTCTCCCGTAAGAGGAAAGGTCCGTGGGTAGTGGCCGAAAAGGAAAAGTGCTGGGGTGTCCAAGAGGCCGTGACTGGACCTGAGGAACCGGCCGTGGCGTGGTTTGTGGGTAAGGAAGAGTGCTGGGGTGTCCAGGAGGCCGTGACTGGACGTGAGGAACCCGCCATGGCGTGGTTTGTGGGTAACACAGGGAGGACGATGCATGGGTAGACACTCGACGGTCCAACAATTGGACCTGACCTTGGAAACATTGACGATGGCACTCACGACCATCCTCTACTTTCGGCACAATTTCATGGCAATTTCCTCCCATCGGGCCATCAGCCTTTTCAGGACCTCACATGATGTGAAAACGTTGACACACCATCGTCCAGGCCACAAAATACGGGCTGTGGGGTCCCCGAAAACAGTCTTTGGAAGACATTTTGGCTTTTCCAGATCCTTTTCCGCGGGGTGTGGGGTCCCACTGGCAGAAACACTTCCGCGGCAAATGTTTTCCTTTCCGCATCCGTGTGGGGTCCCAGCCTATGGCTTGAACCCCACTGCACGGCGGCTGGAAACTTTTGAGCGTGGAAGGTGATTTTGGGACCCCATAAGGCCGCCACACTTAATTTTTTCCAACCGCCGACCTCGTTTTCAGACCCCACTGATCGGGGAAACTGGCCGGGAAACCAGGCAAAAAGTGTTTCTACTCGGCTGGCAGCTGAACAACCTATCGCCAGGTCCACCAAAGTTTATGCGAAGGCGGAAGGAAATGGGACGGGGCCTGCGGATGCCAGCCGACGGCGTCGGAGCGCCAGACCGGGTGGTCCAACAAATGCCTCGGGTGATGTCCGGTGGTCCGCGCGTCCCACCAGCTCTGCATTGGATGTGCGACTGGTGTTCCACCGCCCACCCCACCCTTTCCTTTTTGGACGGGGCACCGTCGACTCTTCCTATTCGGGAAAGGAAGGCCATTTCCAGTGCCAATTATTGCTCTGGCGGTGGGGTCCGCTCGATAATCCAGTTCTCTTTTCCAGAACTGGACTCTCATTCTTTCAGGCGCTCAAAAGTTTCCAGCCGCCCTGCAGTGGGGTCCAAGCCTATGACAGAATAAGAAAGGAAGGTCTGCCGTTTCCATGCAACTAATAACCGTCCTAATCAAAGCTAAGGCTTGAACACCGCACGGTGGCTGGAAACTTTTGAGTGCTGAAGGTCATTTCAGGACCCCATCAGGCCGCCACGCTCAATTCTTTCCAACCTCCGACCCTGTTTCCAGACCCCACTGACCGGGAAAACTGGCCTGGAAACCAGGCGAAAAGTGTTTCTACTCGGCTGGCGGCTGGACAACCCATCGCCAGGTGCCGCCAAATTTTATCCAAGGGCGGAACGAAACTGGATGGGGGCTGTGGATGCCAGCCGCTGGCGTCGGAGCGCCAGATCAGGTGGTCCAAGAAAGGTTTCGGGCTATGTCTGCTGGTTCGCATGTCCCATCGGGTCTGCAGCGGGTGTGTGACTGCCTGAAAAGGGTGTGTGACGGGTGCTGCGGAACCCTGCAGAGGGTGCTATGCTCAATGTTCGATGAACGACAGCAAACCTGTGGACGGACTCCGAGCAAGGGCACGGCTATGGTGGCGGCATTCTCTTTAGGGCACGCGGTGCAAAACGGAATGAGAAGGAGGTGGGGTATCCCCACACCACAGACGAAGGACCGTCGAAACTCCACATGTGAAGTGCAGAAAATCGAGAGCCCGCTCACTGTGCCACCAACGGTCACTGCTGTCCCGAACATTTGAGTGTTGGACTGTTACATACTCCAATGAGTATGGGCAGAACCAAGAATCAACCAATGTAGGATGAGCATATATGCAACGGAAGTCTGATGAACGGACTGACTCACATAGACTGACTTACATGGACTGACTCACATAGCATCACTCCACACACATACAATCGTGGGGTGTGGGGTCTGAGCCATTCATAGAAGATGCTCAGCCCCGTACACACATACACAGATGAATGGGGGAGGAGAGACGAAGAGGTGGGGGGAGGTAGACAGCACCGAAAGTCACCGAGATAGAATCTGATAGGTCACCGATATGGTAGTCCAAAATGTCATCCAACAAGATCAAAATGTCGAGGACCATAGGTCACCAATGTCGGGGATACAGAGTCCAAATGTRACCGGTGTCTGAACTGTGATGTCGCCAARTATCAACCCCAACGATCTCCAAGTCTCCAATCCGGTAAGTACCACAGTCTCATACCACCGAAGTCCAACACTGATCTCTGTCGAACTAGTATAAGTCTCCAATCTGAAGAAGAAGAAGAAGAAGAAGAAGAAGAAGAAGAAGAAGAAGAAGAAGAAGATGGAGTCTGAAGAGGGAGAGAGAGAGAGAGAGAGAGAAGACGGAGGTGAGGAGGAGGGGAACGGGACCGTGGAGGGAGGAAGAGATCCTCGCCTCCTGGTACCTGCCCTGCTGCTGCTGAGGCGGCGATGGCCGCCGTGCTGCTG